GCTCTGGTGTGGGCTGGTCCATGAGGTCACGAAGAGTCGGAGACAACTGAACGAATGAACAACAACAACAAATACAATATATTATATTATTAGTATGGCACAGGAGACAAGGTGGAACTGCCTTCCTGGCCCCCTCTCTCTTCACTAGCCCAAAATGTGTATTATTATTATTATTATTAGGTAAAGGTAAAGGTAGTCCCCTGACATTAAGTCCAGTCATGTCTGACTCTGGGGTGTGGTGCTCATCTCCATTTCTAAGCCTAAGAGCCAGCGTTGTCCGTAGACACCTCCAAGGTCATGTGGCCGGCATGACTGCATGGAGCGCCGTTACCTTCCCGCCGGAGCGGTACCTATTGATCTACTCACATTTGCATGTTTTCGAACTGCTAGGTTGGCAGAAGCTAGGGCTGACAGCGGAAGCTCACGCCGCTCCCCGGAATCGAACCTGCGACCTTTCGATCAACAAGCTCAGCAGCTCAGTGCTTTAACCCACTGCGCCACCGGGGGCTCCATTATTATTATTATTATTATTATTATTATTATTATTATTATTATTATAATCATATAGCCCAAAATGTCTGAAGGTTTTCATGTTCCCCAGCCCTGCCCTACAGAAATACCAAATCACAATATTCACCCGCTCCCCTCTTTTGATATATAATCCCATTTTAGCCTTTGGCTCTCCCAGCTGTTTGGAACTGGTGCTCTCTTTCCGAGCCTTTTCCCATCGTTGGCTCCCTTCACTAAGTTAAGCCAGATTTAGCTCATTTAATCTTTCCCCCAGAACTCGGTCCCTTTAGGTTCCTTATTATTTTAGTGGGTTTTCCATTCTCCGTCTCTCTCCGTCTTCTCTCTTTGAACTCCTTCCAGTCTGTCAAGGTTTTACCTGTAATGAGAGGCCCAGAAGCAAAAGCACAGAGAGACACAGCAGGCTCCCAGATGTGGTTGAGCGGCAGGCAGAAGAGTGTTTTTCCTCCTTTCTCTGCTTTCAGATACGATTGTTTACAAGTGTCATTTCATGGCGGCTTTGGCCCATTGGGATTCATCATTCCTTTTCCTGAAAAAGACTTACCTCTTGGCGAAATGATGCACCTTCTTTCCCCATTTTTGAAATGTTGCCGCAACATCAAGGAAACCGGGACTGTTTACATTTAGGGAAACGCCACTGTGATTTGGGATCTGGGTTGCTGGAAAAATACATGAAAATCAAACCTAGCAGTGTCAGCGTTGTGGACGGAGGCGGCCCTAGGTAATTTTCAATGGTAAGCAAACAGTATTTTGCCCCCCGCCCCCACCAATCATTGATATATATATATTCTGTTTGTCATGGGAGTTCTGTGTGCCATATTTGGTTCAATTCCATCATTGGTGGAGTT